AACAAGAGTTATAGCTTTTGGGTCTGATAAGGTCAGTGAAATCCCCTCAGGATTTATCCTGAGATCCTGTACCTCAGATTGTAGAACCTTTGTCAGTATCAGCCATGTGGATGATGCTCCTATTAAATGTGAGGAATGGATTTAGCACCAAATAAATGGTTCTGGGCTTTGGGCTGCTCTTCTTTTCTGGAGTTGAGTTCCAGGTTCTTCTCTTCTCAAACAAAATATTGAATCAAACAAATAACATACATTGTCAGAGTTTATCTGACAAAAGTGAAATTGTGGAGCCGGGGAGATGGCTCAATAGAATAAGCATTTCCCTGGCAAGTATAAGGGCCTGAGTTCAATCCCCAGTTCTGCCAAAAAGAAATAGATAGATAGATAGATAGATAGATAGATAGATAGATATGTTATTTTTTTTAAAAAGTGAAATTGTGAGGCATGGTGGTGCACACCTATAATTCCAGAACTAGGGAGGCTGAGGTAGGGGGATCATCCTCAACTTGAACCAGCCTGGGATATACAGTGAGTTCAAGGCCAGCCTAAACTATATAGTGACACTATTTCAAAAACCAGATGACTGGCCAAATAGCTCAGTGGATTAAAGCATCTGCTTAAGCAGACACAGAGACTGGGAGTTCAATTCCCAGGCCTGCCGTGCTGGCCCTAAGCCCCTGGGACAAGCTGAGACAACGACTAAGACTTGAGCTTGGTGGTGCGTGCCTGTAATCCTAGCACGTGGGATGCTGTAAACAAGAGGATCACTATAAGTCTGATCTATGCAGTGAGACCCTGTACACCCTGCATACCCTGTCCAAAACATAAAAAAACAAAACAAAAAACACCTGGATCTCCACTAATGGTAGAAAATAATTCAACAGTGATTTTTGTAGCATTAACTATCCAAAAATTAATAAAGCTTCATGACTAAAGCTTTATGTTACACTATGGAAAGCAAGCAAGAACAGATGTTTCAAACTTTATATGACAGGAGAATGAGGAAAAACAAGTGGGAAAGGGGTCCTACTGGGGAGTAGAAAGGTATTTATAAAATTAGATAAATGTAACAGGGAAAACCAATAAGAAATAGAACATAAAATAAAGGAAAGGAGGGGAAAAATTATATGGGAAGCTACAATTCAAGGCTGAAAAAATCAATAGTTAAATTAATTTGAAGCTTTAAAACATTACAATCCACTCATTTCTATGTCTGTCGCTTCTGGGAAAAGGCATATTCTACAGGTATACATTTCAGATGCTAATTTCCTATTCAAAATAGGAAATAAATACTTTTAAAATAATTAAAAATACATTCAATTAATATTTGCAAGGAATGACATGAAGATGTCTAGAAAAAATAACACCTACCTTAATTCTGTGCAACATTTGCCATGGACACGTTACCTGTCAGGCTCTCTGATCAGTATCAAATATAGAGAACCTAAAACATACAAGTAACCTTTCACAACCTCCAGTGGTATCTCACTAAAATATCCGAACCCATAAGAAACTCTCTTTCCTTTCTAATGAAAAATGGACGAAAATGAGATTCATTAAATCTGACTTTTGAGTCTGTCACAGAATCTCGCCTCTTCAGCTTGTTGGGGATGAGAACTCGCTGCCTACTTGGCCCAGGCCCAAGGTATCTTCTATGACCCTAAGCAATCTCGGCCTTGAAATATCAGGAAGAACACCTGGTTAGAACACCTAAGTCACTTTGGCTGAAGTGGTACCATTAGCAGTGACAATACATCAAACAGAGCTTAGGAGAGGGAGATGGCTCAGTAGAATAAATGCATGCCTGGCAAGCACAAGGGCCTGAGTTCGGTCCCTGGTTCTGCCAAAAAACCAAAAACAATCTATTATTTTCCCTGGCAAGTGCAAGGGCCTGAGTTCAATCCCTGATTCCGCAAAATAAATAAATAAATAAATAAATAAATAAATAAATATGACAAACTGAGGTAACAATGAATTTCCACCTTTAGCCATATGAACTAGATTTGTGGCTATCAAACAAAATGTAAAACAAAACACAAAATTATAGGCAGTAAATAAGTCTTCAATATGTCAGTTTTACCCTCAGGGGAGGAAAGCAGGTTGGGGGAAAAATAGAGAAGTGGAAGAGATTAGCAGCAAGGCCAAGGGACAACGAGGAATGACATAAACTGTGGGAGACTGGTGCAGAAGAGGGGGGGTTCAAGAAGGAAGAAATGAAAGGAAGAACAGAACAACCACAAAGAAGCTAGAAACCACATTCTCACTCACATAAAAACAAGATCAAACAATGAAGGAGAAAACACAAATACAAAACAAAAATGAAAAAGAAAAAGGAGAGAGAGAGAGAAGTCCCCCTCCAGGTCTATCGCTGCTGTCACTAGCAGACAGCATGTGAAGACAGAGCTCACATCTGTGTGGATTTACCCCAGCAAGCCAGTGGTAGCTTTAGGGCCAGGGAGTGGTTAATCTCGGTGAGCCTGACCCTGATTTCCCCTGGAGTTCAGGCTGGCTTCTGGCTGGGAGGCAGTGACCAGGCCCATTCGGCCCGCATCCATCAGCGTCCATTCTGCGGTCTTGGACTCAGCTGCAAGCTGCAAGACGGACCCAGAAGTGGTTTTGAGTTCTGAGCTCAGCTGGTACCTCTCAAGATGGCTCTGGGCCAACCGCCCTCTCCCACAGGACACCCAAGCCCTCAGCGCTCAGCCCACCCCACACAGTGCTTCACATCCACTGTCCCCTGCACTGCTGCATCTCTCCTTGGAGGACCCGGTATTGCCAGCAGGCAGCGTGCGTGTCAGGGTCTGCCCCACACCTTCCACACAGTGATTCCCACCTCAGGGGCAGCCTCTGCCTGCCGCCTCCTTCTTCACTGGAATTTCTGTCTTCGCTCTGCCCGTGGGTTTCAGTTCTCACTTCAGGTGTTTCCTGGTCCTGGGGGCCCACTTCCCTCCTCCTGGTCTTCCTCACGTTGCTGTGCCTCAGTGTCTGGACAGCGCTTCTCAGAGAGGTCTTTCTCTGCTGCTCACCACTCCTCCATCTTCCTGCAAGTGGAGTCTGGATCCAAGAAATCTGAAGACACAAAAAGTGCATGTGTTTAACTTTGAGTTTTCTATTTTGTTTCAGACACCTGAAAAGAGAGCTAGATGCTAGAACCTCTTAACAATCACTAAACACATGACAGGCTACTTACATTGCTAAAAGCAAATGAAAAAGTCATGATTATCTTACAAGGAACATGTTAGAAAAATTAATTATCTTACATAAATATCAAACTTCCTTTCCCACTTTTCTACCACTAGTAAACATGAAAAAAAAAATTGTGCCTTTAAAATAATTTGGGGAGACGTTATCCGCTTCCATCCGTCGCGCAGACCCTGCCGGAGCCGCTGCCGCTATGGATGATCGGGAGGATCTGGTGTACCAGGCGAAGCTGGCCGAGCAGGCTGAGCGATATGACGAAATGGTTGAATCAATGAAGAAAGTAGCAGGAATGGATGTGGAGCTGACAGTTGAAGAAAGAAACCTCCTATCTGTTGCATATAAAAATGTGATTGGAGCTAGAAGAGCCTCCTGGAGAATAATTAGCAGCATTGAACAGAAAGAAGAAAACAAGGGAGGAGAAGACAAACTAAAAATGATTCTAGAATATCGGCAAATGGTTGAGACTGAGCTAAAGTTAATCTGTTGTGACATTCTGGATGTACTGGACAAACACCTCATTCCAGCAGCTAACACTGGCGAGTCCAAGGTTTTCTATTATAAAATGAAAGGGGACTACCACAGGTATCTGGCTGAATTTGCCACAGGAAATGATAGGAAGGAGGCTGCAGAGAACAGCCTAGTGGCTTATAAAGCTGCTAGTGATATTGCAATGACAGAACTTCACCAACGCATCCTATTAGTTTAGGTCTTGCTCTCAACTTTTCTGTATTCTACTATGAAATTCTTAATT